GGGGGGGGGGTTGGTTGCTGGCCTGCAGAAGTGCAATGCAAAGTTTCGTTGGCTTAGGTAAATTATTAAATGAGCTAGAAGTGGCGTCGATAGCCTAGTGGTTTGGCTACCGGTCTCGTAATATCGTGAGGTTGAAGGTTCGGGGCTTTGAGCCTCAGTTTGGTCCAGCATTGTGTGCCTGGGGAAAGCACTTTACAGGAATTTCCCATTTGGCTCGGTCCTTTCGGAGATACACGTTAAACTCGGAGGTCCTGCCTCTTAAATAAGCTAGCAAGTGTTGATAGGAGCGATAAACATTATACAATCTCATCTTTTTTATTAAATGAGCTTTTTTTTTTTTTTCTTCAACGCCGACAGGAGACAAAAGTGACCAAGCTGTAACACTGTGGTCTCCCCCGTGGCTTTTTCTCTGCACGATAATACGACTTTTTGTTGTGTCGGTGTTCTTAGCTTCTCTTTTCTGAAACTCAACTCTTTGGAAATGTTTAGGTCGATCTTTCTTTAACTTGTATTGTATTCTAATGTGCTCGGGTGGATGATGGGTGACACTGGAATGTTCTACATGTATTTCTTTTCTTTCCCTCTGTTGTTTCTGTCTGCTTGCCTTGCTTTTTTCATGTAGACTAAATAGCCGATGTCGATACGTTTCTCTTTTTTTCAAGCAAAGTGGGTGGTTGGCGGGTGCTCTTGTGTGGTTTGCTGTTTCTTTCCTGTAACACCCTAATTTTCGGCTCCTAATATTATGACCTAATTGTCTCGCAAATGCCGGGAAACCTTTGCTACTCTCTCTCTCTCTCTCTCTCTCTCTCTCTCTCTCTCTCTCTCTCTCTCTCTCTCTCTCTCTCTCTTTCTCTCTCCCCCCTCTCTCTCTCCGTCTCTCTCTCTCCCATCCCCTCCCATTGTTCTCTCCCATACTCTCTCACTCACTCCAACCCCACTCCACTCTTATTCACCCCCCCAAAAAAAAACTAAACTAAAAAAACCTAACAAAACAACCACAAGCAACTGCCTCCCATCCCCTCTCAATCTCCTCCCTACCATCTCACTCTCTCCCACCCTACTCCCACTCTTTCCCCTCTCCCCCCAATCCCTTCCCACACTGTCTTGTGCGACACAAGCTCTGTCTTTGGATAATTGGCGGGTGCTCTGATGTGGTGGTTTGCTTCTTCTTTCCTTTCAAACATCTATCGTCCTTATTAAATTATCAACCTTCTTTTTTTTGTATTTGTTACTCTCTTGTAACACCCTTTTAGTTAATCTTCGGCACTCATTTTTATGATCGCATTGTGTTGTAAGCTGCTTGATAGGAAAGAAGGAGCAAACCACACCAGAGCACCTGCCTACCGCCCACCGACGTTGTTTTTTTGTGTTCTTTGCTCAAAATCAAAACGTATTCTTTTCTTTTA